ATCTCATTTTATTGTCCTCCACTAGAACTCGCTAACGTATACCTACTGTTAGCGTAAGGGGGTGCACTCTTCTATATTCATCCATACAATAAATCCTACATTATGAAATATTTCATAATTCATTAAAAGAAAACGTATCAGCCCTGCTAGGGTTACATATTTTTTTTCTTTTCTGTCATTATTTGTATACATTGTATACATATGTATTGTTATATATGTATAAAATTTTAAAACCTACCAATGAATGCAATGACTTAATATTAAAATATATATTAAGTCCTATGATAAAAAATATTTTAAAACATTACGGAACATAGAATCACAAACACTAATTACTCGAAAACGTTTTATACCGACATTTAAATAAGTCTGTCATAAGCACAGAGATGAATTTAATTGCCAACCTAGAATCCAATCAGCTTCACAGACAAACAATCAAATACAAAGAGCTAGCAGGGAATCCAATAAAATTCTCAAGCACGAAATAGAACAAATCCATTTGTCAAAGGCAGTTTTGAGTTTATGATTATTTACTTTCTCTCTGCGCTTTTATTCAACTGAAAAAGTAGATATACCCTGTGTTATGATATAGATCGAAGATGTTAAAACTGTATATCCCTTTGCGCTCTGCATACAGAATATTCTACTATGAAAACTTTCTACAATAACTAATTAATCTCGATGAAATTAATCAATTATCACCTACAAAAAAGGATCTATCTTTAGGTCATTCGCACTAACAATCATAAAATCTAAAAGTATATAACTTTCACATTGGTATTACTGAATTTTTAGATTAACGAAATAAATATCTTTATATTATGTATACTGTATGCTAACTACTGCCAAGTAGATCGGAACGGAATTTCGATTTAAAGTATTCCTATGGCATTTGGGTGTGGGGGTACGCAAGGTCTCTATGGACAGAACTTATCTTAGTCACCGCTTCGTTTGCCCAATTTTGCGTTAAAGTCCCCCATGATGATAACTATGTATGGCTATCTCTACCCTGCGGCGCCAACTATGTGGAATAAAGATTATGTTACTATTAATAATGAAGCTATCTTTACCTAAGCAAAACAGAGTCATATAGTAATCAGTAATCGGTACTTCAAATACGCAAATGTTTACAAAGCAGTAATATGCAATGGAAATTATTTATATGTAACTAGAATGGCAAACAAACTGACCTGGTGACATCTCATATATGTATATATGAACAGCATTTCATCCCCGTGTGACAAATTCTAATTACATTTCAAAAGTCATTTAGTCATATAGGACATTTTAGCCGCTTATAAATGTCAAGTTTTTTGTAATTAATATTTTTCCCTTCCGTACAGTTCAATATATATTTAATTGAGAAGAACTTGCAAGAAACTCAAGTGTATTTCTTTTTATTTGTAGCCAGTTTTTTTACTGAAAAAGTAAATAAACTGCTTACGTAGATGTATATGTTTATCATAAATTAAAATCCCGTGCATGAACAACTATCGCCATGCACGTTTGTCATTTAAGGAATCGTTTCGTAAGTAATAGGCTCAGTATATACTAAGGTATTATGCGTATATATATGTAATTCCACTGTTACATCTCATCCTTGAAAACCAAAAATAAGTGAGATCTAGGTAGACGTTCTTTTCAGGTATCTACGATAACCATATACCATCAGATGGGCCGTATGCCTGTTTGACACCACAGTTATATAAATATAGATGTTGAGAATTGGTTCAAAGTTTAGAGAAATATTTGCACTTCTCCATCCCATATCGATTTTTTGAGCACTCATCAACTTCCTCAAAGTTATGTTCATTTCGCATTTGTTTGCGCCTTTTCTTCAAACTTACACGGGAATACAGTACAAACCCTTGGAGCTAAATAAACATAAGCCAATGGCCAAGAAAAACAACTGGAAACAAAGTCCACATAGAATGGTTTTTACCTTTTAAAACTCATTGAACCTTAAAATAATCTTTCGTTTCGCTATTCTCGTGTTCTTTGTAAAGTATTATTTCATCTGGATCCTCATTAAAAACGGTAAACGAGTAGGTATTATGAATAAAATTGTAGGAATTAAAATATACCTACACGAAATCTTTGATTTTATTTAGAAAAAAAATCAACTTAAGTACGTTTTTTATAACTATGATATTGTTAATTACAAATAAGCTTACTGAAAAATGGTAACGAAATCTTGCAGTTCTGATGCCTGAGGTGCCTGATAAAATCTTTGTCTGACGGCCTTGATGGTCTATTGTTTCAAGAAGTCGTTTTAGTTCCTATGGTCGCGGGTATCGATTCCTTGAATGATAAATACAAATGTTTGCACCGTGGCAAACATTTGTATTCATGAGTCTTGTTTGTGTCGGTCTGGGTATTTTCTAACTATATTACGGATGTGTTTACCAAAAAATTAAAGTATTTGTATCCATTGGGTTACGAATACTTTATATTCTGTGTGAATTGTATTGAGTTATTATTATTATCTATAATTATTATAAAATTTGTTGTGTTGCTAAACCAACAACAGGTTAACAAACAATTAATAATTAACAAGCAATTTATGTTTATATTATACATAAATTGATTGTTATATATTAATTATTTAGTATTTACATTATTAAAATTTGTAAAAATTTTAATAAGGATTTATATACTCTACATAGTATAAAATATCACAACTATATTTTTACCATAAACAAGAACCAATCAAAATTTAGCCACTAATTAACTATAATGTAAAGGTCCAACTACATAAATGGAATTATGGTATACCAAACCTGAGTGTAACATTAATCCCAGCAGAAATTGGATGATGAATATGGATGAGGATTTTGTATGTCAAGCGATCTACTGACGTTCGTAGCGACCGCCACTGTCGACGTGTCCATTTGGGATTTATATTAATATTATATAATATCTACATATATACCGGTCAAGTGAGAGTTCTAAGACATGATTTATACCTTATATATATATGTATATATTTCAAACTAGAAATAAGTTTACTAAAATCTTAATAAACAGTGATAAGTCACCTACAAAAATGATGATGACAAACATCAGATCTCAATAAAAATGCCTGTACTATCAAACCCACTTACTGCCCTGTTATCTATTCCTCAGAATAAAGTTTTTAAACCTATACACTTAATTTAAGCAGAGCGTAAGTTAAGACCAATTTGTCTAAATTCTCCCTCAATTTCAATTACAGTACAGGTTTATAAATATTAACATACTTCCGTATAAGTAGGTTAGGTATACATATCTATCATATAATCACAAAAACACAAAGTAGGTAACTAGATACCTAATTTATTTTTAATCCTATAGCTTACTCTTTATTCCATTTGCCCAACTGATACTAATTAGACAAACTAAAGCTGTAATCTACTTCCCTAATTGAGTGCCTATCCACATTTTCCCTCGCACGAATCGTTAGCAAATCCATGTGGACAAAACAACAGCCAAAACAGAATGTATACGTGATCCCACTCGACTACGTATATTAAAATGATTACATGTCAGAAAGCACTTATTTGAACAATGATTTCTCATTTCCCGCCAAGCAAAGCTATGCTGTTGATGGCGTCGCGTCGCGCGTGCCGCCATCGGTTCACAATTCCACATCGTTTATCACATTGTAGTGAGTAATGAGTTGAATATTTGCGTCACCGCTTTTTGTTACAACTTAAATACGATGATAATTACACCCTGGCGAGACAAATGGTAAGCAGTTTTTAATATTAAATAAGTAAGTATAATTGCAATAAGTACCGATTTAGGGACATAGACTGAAATAGGTAGGTTGTTTTTTATGAATAATAATGTAAAGGCACACTGCGCTAACAGTTTACGCTGGCGGAGCACCAGTGGAGGATGCAACGACGAGCATGAGGTCAAATCATCCCATCGTAATAAATTTACCAGGTCTTTATCATGATGGGTTCCAAGGAGAACCACGTGGGTCCTCCATGGTAAACTAGGTACATTGTTGGCATCAGGGTCATCAGTCCACATTACTAATAATCCTTCCTCCCTTGTAGGTAGGCATTTCTATGGATTATGCCATCATGTTATACTTTCTACATCCGCGGATCACCACTTGTGGTTGAAGTCCATCAGGTCAGTCAGACGAATTCATCAGAAATAAACCTCTATGATTTCCAGTATGTATAGCATAATGTAATGTACCCTTATTATAACTCTGTTACATAAATCCAATACCGATACATTTTTTTTATGAAAGTAATGACAACGAGCTGAACGCGCACCTGAAGGTATATATCTACATACCATCAGATATGCGTTCATATAGGAGATAATCATCAAGTAACGCATGCAATATGTCACCAGTCATATCTTGCCTTTCCAAAGGACTAAAATGTCATTGCCCCTAACCCTGTAAATGTAGGTAATATGTCGTTTAAAATATTGGAATAACAACAGTCACGACACATTCGGCAGCCTATGTTGTGACAGCGTATTTTGTTACCTTAATTTATTTTTTAATAAACAGATTTTACTTTGAAAGTTTTAATAAATACAAGAACCTGCGGCTGGCGGATAAAATTTTAGATTAAGTAAGTCTTTTAATTACAGAGTCTTATATGAAAAGGGGCTTCCTATTTTCGACAAACCTTGTCTCACATATTTTGTAGCTTTTTGTTTATGCTATAAAATATGATTATGTAATGTAGCTGTATTGGAATTGTTTCCTATATTAAAAAGAGGAAAAGGGGAAAATTTTGATGGTGTATATGAAATACTAAAGAACTTTTATCACAGGTACAAAATCTCAAAACATTCAGTCAATGCAGTACACAGCAAAAAAATATAACTTCTACCTTCGATTCTGTCTCTTCACAGAGTATTTTTAATATTTCGTATTGAAACTGAACTGACATCTTTTATCATGACTGACTGCATAATGTCAAAACTGACATTGGCGACGTTTGCAATCGTTCTGTCACCATACAGTATTATATCGGCCAATTACACCTAAAAATCATGAATAGTATTATTAGTATTTGAATAATATTTAATCACTAATTTTATTGTCATTAAAATAGTAACTGCTAGTGAAAATTCCTTTGTTAACTAGTAAAATGTCCACAGAAAATTCGCCTATCAAGCCATCAAGATCTCCAAGTGTGATAGAATCATTAGAAGACTTCGAGAGCCAAGTTTGTGATGGTTTCATTAGCACAACGCCTACATTCAACGTGTTTATTGTCGATATGTGAACTTTTATGTATTTTCTTTTAGGACACGTTGCTGAAACACGTAGATATATCAATTGTGGAGTCTGAGAAGCGTGCAAATGGCACTCTACATGTACGAGATCATTACACAGTCTATCTAATCGATCTCAAGTAAGTCATCATTGTAATGTTTCCATAATAAATTACACCGCAATTGTAGGTCAATTAACGCTATTTCATTGTATGATTGTATGTCGGTGGTTGCTTGCTTTACTCTCATGTAATTATAACTGTAGGTACTAATTGTTATTAAATCATATTTCTTCATTTTATGTCCTCTAAGGATATTTACCATTCCATATGATAGACGGAAATTGTATATATAAAATAATAATAATTGTAAAAGCCTTTGTTCTGATTTTATACAATGATTCAACATGTATTAATTGTATTTGTTTATGTTTAAATTAATGCTTTACATTGCTTTATGAACTTGTCCTAAGACATAGGCCTCCTCCAATAGATTCCATTCTCCTCTGTCCAAAACTTTCCTTCACCATCTTGATATAGCCACTATTCTTAAATTGGAGTATGTATTCTGCTGGATATATTTATAAAACTATTGCTGAATTAAAAATAAGAAGGAATACAACTGAAAATAAATGGATCTGCTTTGGGAAGTACACCAAAGACAGAAAATTATGAAAGCCTCTAGAGGAGATCTATTTTAGAAGACAAGATGTGGATGTGGAATATATTAATAAAAATATATTTAATCATTTATGTAGTATTCTAAACATAAATTATTATTTTTCATTTAAATATAAATTATCATGTAATCAGTTGATTTGTCTACACTGTAGTTAATTAACTGATTACATGATAATTTATAAGCATACCTATTTAATATAATTATATTTAATTTATTAAAACCAATTGGCTGGTAAAAAATGCTATTTGCATTAAGCCCGCCTATTGTACAAAATCAATAAAGTTTTAAATAAATAAATAAATACAGCTATAAAGGCTGTTATAATTTTATTTACTTTAGAGATATTTACATAATTGTTTTCCATATACCATTAACAGAAGTATATAAAACAAATTGTATGTAAAAACATATTTTAAATACAGATAAAAGAATATATAAAACTGCCAGTATTTCTCATTGTAGGTTTAACAAAAAATAATATATGTCCCTTCTATTTCAGAGTCACTGATCCTGATTACAAGTTGGTGCAGTCCAAAATCAGCACAATATGGAGACGATACACAGAATTTGAGCAGATACATGATTATCTTCAAGTCACATATCCACATGTTGTTATACCACCACTACCTGAAAAAAGGGTGATTATTATATTCTATTCATACTAATAATCTAATTGCAAAAGTATATCTCTCTATCTGTCTTCTCACTGTCAACTTTTTATAACAAAAAGACAATGGATCTTAATGTATTTTCACATCAAGATTGTATCAACATAGGCTTTCTTGTAACTCAGTACTAAATTTGCAGTCAACAACTGTTTGCAGTGTTCTAAAAAATAATAACAATCAATATTTCGTCTCCATATCAATCTTATTATATTTAACAGCTTCCTTCTTAAAATATTGTTATGCAGTGCCAACCCTGAATAATCAATATGAACAAAGCTATGATAAATGTAATGCAGTCTATGGAGATGTCTGTCTACAAAAAAAGTGCCTAAAATTGAGCAAGTCTGTGAGCATAGGCACATACTGTTATTACCTTTTCCTTTTTTCCGTACCATCTTATATGGAAGATTGATGTTTATCAGAATTTACATATGTATAATAATTGAAGTCACTCTGTACACATATTTGATAAGTTTATTTGTTATATGCTTTTCTGATCATATTACATGATTTTGTAAACGCTTGTGTTTTTGTAAACACTTAATAACCTAAAATGTGTTTCTATAAAACTACTTGTTGCTATATCTAGAGAGTGGTTTCAGACCCTAGAGTCCCTACGACTACATTACTATTCAAATAAATTAAAAATAAACTTACAATTAAATACTAATATTACAATTACATATTATAGTTATATGTAATGTGTTTTTTTTTCAATTCAAATCATTCATTTGATATATATATATAGTCCGTAAGTCCGCCATTGTACAACTTCTTAAGATTGTTATATCCTGTTATTTTAAATTTACTGCTCAATAAAGAGTTACAAATAAATAAACTTTATTTAAATAAGTTAATATAATATTTGAGTACTATTTTTTGTACAAAACAAAACAAAACAGAGATATGCAATATTAATGTATTGTTTTGAAATTATAATAATTATATAATATTAATAAGTACTTCCTTAGTATTACTTATTACAATAACAGTATTTAATGATATTTATACTTTTATTATATATTTAAGTATATTTGTTTTTATGCAGATTTTGTATGCTTGGCGCAAATCGGATACAACAGATCCAGAGTTTGTGGAGCGCCGGCGGGCAGGTCTCGAGAACTTCTTAATGCGAGTTGCTTCCCACCCGAGGCTCTGCTTCGATGATCAGTTCATCAGCTTCCTGCAACAGGAACATGGGTGGCGAGAAACTATTACTGACAGTGGTATGCAATAATTCATTTCAGTCATAACTTTTGACAACCATCCTATTATAGAACACGCTCTACACACCTACACTTAAGAATCAATGTGAATACTTATTATTATAAATTAAACCAGTCTCTAATTAATCACATGTTTACTATGAGATAGCCAAAACAATACAGAGTAGGTTACTATACTACACTTAAGTAGTCTATGTTCAATACACTACACTTACATATATTGTTGCTTATATAGACTAATTATATTTAAGTACCCTCCATATAAGTTTTTTTTATAAAGAGCTTCACTATCATAAGGATGAGAATAAAGATGACACACAAACAATAATTGTGTGTCATTGTTTTAATGACATACACGATTATAGTTATACAACACATCCTTTACAAATTCTGTAAAAGAATATTATTATGTAGTCTTCAAACGCAAAATTATCTAGCACATTTTACTGCAAAAAACATATTTTTTTTCTATATTATACAGCATTTTTATTTTATGTTTCTGATTTATGTGTTTAAAGTTATAATATATACATTATTAAACTTATGTTATTTTCAGGTTATAAATTACATGCAGAAAACAAGTTAAAATCATTATCAGTTTCCATCAGACTGAAGAAGCCTGATCCTGAAATAGAGAGTGTAAAAAATTATGGTAAACAATTGGAGACAAGCTTAGGAAATTTTCTATATACTAGGTAAATAACAGTCATATTGTATCTTTAAACTGGTATCTAAAATACAGGTTTATATTTAGTTTAGGTACCAAGTAACGTGTAACATAATATAATATAACATAAAAATTGGAAACATTATTATTATACCTAAAAACTAATTTCGTAGGGTCATCATAACTAAAGAAATAGGTAGTCTACGTCCTTCTTATTGTTATGACAATATGCACGTCTCTTACGTAATAAACAAACCTTTGGTTTAATATTAGTAAGAAGCAGCATTTTTTCACAGATTTACCATCTCAAATTTGTTATTTTCGCTTATAATCATCCAGACAATTTCGAGCAATTCTTATTACTTACTTGATCTCTGTGTATAATACCTATGCAATACTTCAAGTATCTGTACCCACCATTACAGCCCGCATCCCTCCACTTTACGTTTGCATTATGAAATAATGGATGGCCCCTAGTTAACCTGTTTCATAACGATAAGATCGAAAGAAAAGTCAAGATAATGCAATAAATAAGTAAAAAATTATAAATAAAATCGGTCTTTCTCATTTACAGATCAAAAATAATAGAGAAAAGCTATGCTCTATGTAAACTTCATGCCAGTTATGGGAAATTATTCAGTGAATGGAGTGTTATTGAGAAAGATATGGGTGATGGATTACAGAAGGCTGGCCATTACTTCGGTATGTAGATTAATATTATATTTTACTATGAATGATCTTAGTAGGTTTAAACAACCACCACGACATGATGAAAAATTACAATATGATTCTTTGCTGTATGAGTATGTAAACATTTATATGATACAATTCTTTAGAATATAAGATATTACTGTATTGTTTTTTTAATAAAAAGCAAAACAAAAATACGAACAAAACTAAATGTGTAATACTGGTAGAGCTCAGCCCCATTGGAAACAAATATACCTAAAGACCATGCAATGAAAACAAATGCTAATTATTAATAACTAATAAATGAATTGGCTAAAAGTGGGCATGTGCTAATTTCTATGTGATTGAAGTAGAAGCGAGGGGTAAGACATCGTAATCTCTCCACAAACTTCTAAAAGATCTTGGCCTTTCTAGAACTGCAGTAAGTTCTATAATAGAACGTGTATCTAAAGTTACACTAGCAGGCTTCTACCATATTTGGCTAGGCAGGGAGAGAAACACGAGCGGTGAAGATTAGTGTTGACATAGGTCGGCAAAGGGGCCTCTCTGCCGCACAATGGGTCCGTCTCTCACACATTGAATCCATGGAATGCTAAATTCGTCTTTATCAATTGTAATTTTGTTAATAATATTTTCAGATTCAATAGCAGACAGTATAGATTCGCTAGCAGAAGATGAAGAACAACTGGCTGATCAACTGAAAGAGTACCTGTTCTATGCAGCGGCACTGCAGCAGCTGTGCAGTAACCATGAAGCGCTGCAGCAAGCGCTTGAAAATGCACACGATACATTAAATAACAGGTATGATAATTTTTACAATTTACCCTCGATTAGCCGACTAGTTGAAGTGTTACGATTTCCATGGCAGTTAGCATCCAATCATATCCCGCATTATTCTTTGTGTTAGCAGTCTTTCTTTTTTTTTCTCTTACGCACGCAGGATATCCCGCTCGAAATCGCGCACACTTCTGATTACTCCTGGAAAGAATGTGCGAAATGTATCTAAGAGCCTATTCGCACATGAAAGAACACAAGTGTAAAACCAGCTATCGTCTACATTTACATGCACATTCTTTCCGGCGTGAAAGTGCGTATATGTAAAGGCAGCCTTTGTATATAGACAAAGGTTGCCATTACATATACACTCATTCACGTAAATATAGATCTGAACATTTTATCCTGCGTGAAAGAGCGTACGTAAAAGCAGGTTATGTGTGTCAGGGTGGCGGAGCGGTCGCGGGCGGCGGCGGGCAAGGGTTCACTGATGTCGCGTCTGTTCGGGACCACGGAGCCCGACCTCGCGCGGGACGTGGCCACGCGCGCGCTCGACGCCAAGCTCGCCGCCGACACTCACGCCATACACCACGCGCGAGCCGCGCTACAGTCAGTACCTTCTATTATGCAATGTATATTCATATATAAAAATAACATATACTTGCCTTAATTGAATTTTCTGTTTTTACGTGTACAAAATAATTTAATATAAAAATAACCCTGTATAATTCACACAGCTCCATGTAGTACCAAGCTAAGCAAATCTTTTTATGGATACTGGACAATTGACAGAGATGCTTAAATATTTTCTTTTTGTAAATTCTTACTTAATTTATATAGAAAACGCCCAGACCGATACAAACAATCATACTCATGACTATAAAGGTTTGCATTGTTCAAGTGTGGTAAACAAGTAGACCACCGCTGCACTCAGATGGGCATATGGTGCAGTGACTCATTTGTTTGTGAACGTTTCTAGCAGCACAACTCTAAGTGTCATCGCTATTCATTATATCTAACTTAAAAATAATTTAACCTTCTGACTATATCAGATTTTCCAAACCTAAATAAATCGTGTTATACCTATAGAAGGAATCATCTTGCTAACTGACGTAGTAAAGTACAAATTGAAAAAATAAGGTCCCTACCACACATGTAAAAGTGAGTTGATCATTCTCCGTTATAGGTTTGCCAACTTACAAATTTTTACTAAATGCACCTGAGAAAGAATATTTCATTATTTGGTTTTGGATGAATCATTAAAATCGTTCATAATATTTCATTTAAACAAAAATATAATAATAACATTCATGAATTGTATTCAAAAAATGACTCAATAACATTTAAAAAACACCATGTTTGATGCAAAATAAGACCTTCACACACGTAATCGTATTGTATAAATTGTAATACATTAGGACACCTTATCTTTTACAATATATTCAGCACGATTACGAAATAATGAATGCCATTGTGTTTCACTCGTAATTGTATTCTTAATCAACGCATTTCCAATCTGTTTATGTCACTTAGTATGTAAAGATATATAATCATGTTTAACATAAATGTTAAATTTTTCGCATACTGTAATCTGGACCTTCAAATTATTCGACATAGCATTTTTTACATCTAAGGTCTCTCATCTAAGGCTTTTTAAATATTAATCTAGGTCATTGAGCAACGGCTGTCATTGACATATATATTTATATTTTTTTTACAGAGAATTCAACAAGAAGGCGCTACTTGAAATTGAACATTTCCAAAAACAAAAAGACAAAGACCTTCACGAATCACTAGTCGGATTCATCACGTTACAAGTGAAAGCTGCCAAAAAGGTAAGAACATTAGTATCTAACTGAAATCTTTGCTCTTTTGAGTTGTTACAATCAATGGACTTGATAAAAAGTAGCGTCGTCCAGCCCAATTGCAAAGTATATATTATCCATAATTGCTAAATTTTATTGATGGTTTGAAAAAGGCACTTTTACCTTTACTTATAAGTATACACAAGTATGATGTATTACTTTCGTCTTTTCGTCACTACCCGAAGGTAATCTGTACGAGATTGCATAAGCGATAAGGCCGCTTTGTTAAATTTGATTCCTGTAATCTGGCGCATAAAGAGTGGTAAAAAAATGATTGAAATCGAAATATTTATTTATTTATATAAATAAACTAGCTAGTCGCCCCGGCTTCGCCCGGGTGTACATGTATTATACATATAAACTTTCCTCTTTAATCACTCTATCTATTGAAAAAAACCGCTTCAAAATCCGTTGCGTAGTTTTAAAGATTTAAGCATACATAGGGACGGACAGACAGCGACTTAGTTTTATACTATGTAATGATATTACGATTTCAATACTTTTTAATATAATTGGAATGGCCAACTAACGACACACCTGATGGTAAGTGGCGACGCCACGGTTAGTTATATTCACGAATAATACTACGGATACGCCTGCGATACTACACATTCTTTGTCATTCCGAATGAAGAAGATACCAAGTAATTGCACTGGCTTTTCTCGTCTTTCAAGCGAAACACAACTTACAAAGCTGCTTGGCTGCTGAAATTGATGAGGTGATATAAATAAATGTATCCAAGCAGACGACTTTTTACAATATATACCTCACGTCAGGACAATTACTCAGTGTTTTAACCTAGTACCGTCCTACCTTGTAGTTATATTACCTTAACCATAACTGTGCTACATACAAAAAATGCACTTTAGAGAAAAAGCAACCCTTTTTCTAATGAAACACGGTTAGAATGTCTACAGAAACTCGTACACTACTTAACTATTGTAACATAATTTTTATATTCTTCCAGAACTTGCAAGCGTGGACGCAAATCAAAGAATGTCTACAAAACATGCCCTGAACATAGCTCGCCCTCGGGCTTTACCAAATATCTCTGTAGCTTACTAGAAAACTAGATTTTAGTACTTTTGTATCTGTCCCACTTGTAGTTAGGTAGGGATTATAAAAACATTTTACCTTCTTGTTCATAAAAACTATAAGTCTAATAAACCTATAATAGCTATATGAAACTTTTTGTCTATTTCTTATGAGTTTCTTTCCTATTTTGTGAGAAAAGGATAAAACGGTTTAAATTAAAATGGGTTTGTATAAGACTAGTTTTTATCAGTAAGACGGTTTGTCTTTACTAATGTAAATTTTGAAGAAAATATGTATAGAGTTTATTTGTAGGTGAGACATAATATTAGTAACTACTAAATGATGATTAAATATTCATTTTATTTAAAATTCTTTATAGGTAGTATGAAGTTCATAAAATATATCATTTGAAAGAACAAATCCGTTAATTAGAATTAGAACGGTAATAAATCTTGTTATCGTTTAACATTGAACCCTTTTTCTTTATACTACATGTTATAAAATTTAATTTCTTATATTTCCTCCGCAAAGGAAATATTATAAAATATTCCATTAAAGCATGAAAGCTATGCATTCCAATGAGGTACTATTTCGTCACGCATTAAAACTGTTCGTGTCTCTCATTAAGTGACAAATATAATATAGTTTGTATTTAAATGTCATAGTATTATAAATTAAGATACCTTTTGTTATTGAAATCTAAAAGCCGCCGTAAATTGACAGAGAAAGTGTCTGGATAACAGACAACAAATAAATCGTACTCACGAAAAAGAAAGAGACGCTAGATATTGCTTTCCCGTTCTATCACCTGCATATTTCGTTACAACAACATATATTTAATATCAACGAACGAGGTTGTTTGCCACGACTTCTCGGAAGACTATTTAGATATGCTCATTTTTGTAATTTATTATTACAATAATGACCACCAGCCCCGAGTGTGTCGAGCGGGTACTGCGAGGCTCATAGGAGTCTCATAGTTAGTTTTTTAACAAGATATGCCTTGAGGAGTCTATTGTGAGAGTTACGATACCCCACTATAAAGGACCTCGTGCCATGTCTTCATATTCATATCTTACTAAAAAAACTATAATGATTAATTTTAGTTGAATTATAATTAATTATCAGTATTTTTTTTTTGGATGCACTTTATTTTTTTTCCTACAAGAATATAGTTTCTGAAGAGTCGGTAACGAGCACATAATATCCCTGTTGTTTCACTCGTTCATACGCTACGCAACCGTTTACCATCAGATGGGCCGTATGCTTTCGTACCACTGTGGTATATAATAAAATAGCTGTGACCGCTTTATCCGCGTGGAATAGTGACCTTAAATAGCATATAATATTTAATAATCTCTCCTAGCTTTAAAAATGACGTTACCTCCATATTACCTTTCATCTCCACTTTCAATCCCTTTCAATTCTTTTTTCGCATAAAAAGTAGCCAATCTTCTTTCTTAGAACTATCTGTGATCCAAATTTCATTTAAATCAGTTCAGAAGTTTTGCCGTGAACGCGCGACAGACAGATGACAGAGTTACTTTCGCAGTTATAATATTAGTAAAGATTAGAAAATTTCACGAGGCAAATTTTTAGGTATTATCCTCGTCGTATTTCTTAATATTATATACATTCTTGAATAACTATTATTTTATTTCCAGTTACTTTTACTATTGGCTCATAATTATCAAATTATAGGTATAAAGCTAGACTTACGATTCTCAGCAGTGTTTAGGCCTTTGGCCTTACACAGCTGGAAAAAACCCATCCAAATATTAATACGCGGTACGGAGGCTTAGCTTCTTATGCCTCTGGAATGGCAACACATGAGGAGTATCACGGGCGTCATCACGCCGATGATATGATGCCCATGTTGCTATTCATGTATATTGGCTTCGTTTGTAGTTGTTCTTTCCAGTGAACCCTCAGATTTTTAGCCATTCCAAATACATGAAAAACCCATTAGTCAATATAAGATATTCCGTATGTTTTAGGCCAGCCAGCCTTAGACTATACTTATAATGATCCTTTGTGTGTTCAAGATACTATTTCTAACTGCCTATTAGTAATATACATTCTAAAAATTCACCATTTAAGTTTAAATTTAAGTGTAGGTATGCAACAGAGTTTGTGTCGCTATAAAATTGCTTATTTTGTCGACATATCGTAAAGTTAAACCAGAGATGATGAAAATGAAACTTTAAAATATATATTTTTTAATATCTTCTTTAAAAAATAAAATATTAAAAAGTTAAAATTAAAGTGAAAATCATTTAGGTTACAAAAAGTTTCGATCTTAATATTTCTTATTATACTGAAGGCGACACATAATTTGTTGTATGTATTTATTAAGCTGGCGACTGACCTGCAATAATTAAACAAAACGTTACAGTATAAGAATAGAAATCCTAATAAAAAGCTATCTGCTATAAGCATATACATACTCGCTAGTTTCAAAGAAATTGTAGGTTAGTCGCTATGTTTAGATTATAGTTTGTTAGAGCAACTATTTAATGTATTCTTTTGAACTTCGATTTATGCAAAATGTCTCTTAAATTATTTAATACTCAACTGTGATTTCAAGACCAACTGAATGTAGCAAAACTATGTAACATAAATTATAAATGTGTAGAACATAGAATATTCTAATATATTTTATTCCTTAGCTAATTCAATTGCGTTGAATTATATTTATTTGTTGATTTATTTCGCGTTTATTATAAATATTTAAGAGAATTGTAGTTTCCAATAAATATCAATACTTTTTATCAATATTTAGTTTTATTACATTCATTATCTCATACTACAAAATCTATGCATACTCCATATGATATAGTATTTAATATTTTTAATTTCCTCTTTACGTCTTCTCAGTTTGGTATAAACTTAGAATTATCCCTGTATATGCACATCTACAAATAAATAGTACAGTAGTAGTTTTTTTATGGATGGTAATGAAATGATGCACCCGCCTGCGCTAACGTATTACGCTAGTGGGGCACCATTGGAGGATGATAGATGGAGTTAGCCCATCGTAACGAATTCACTAGGATTTAACCACGATGGTTTCCTTGGGGGACCACGTGGACATCAGCTTGACATGGTAAATTGTTAGCAATGGTACTACTGTGCACCATTGCTAACAATCCCTTTTCCCCAGTACAGTAGTAGTATCTACAGATTAAAAGAATTTCCTTTTTTAAACTATGGTAGACACGTAGAAAAGGTGTTTGATTTGCCATTTTGCTGGAAGCTTGATGGGATTTGCAATGCATAAGTAATAGGATTAACTTTGTATAATCCGCCGAGGTTAAGAAGTGCCTCCGCTGAGAAAAAAATATTATATTAAGGGATTACTACATCTTGATTGGCGACTTATGCAAAATTCCTATTATTATTTAGAGTTGTGTTTTATAAAGCTTTCCTGTATGTGTGAGGTGAACTTAATCATTCATATTTCTGACTGTCTCTCTGGTAATAGAAACATCGATATCAAAGCAAATGTAGGGTATGGAAGTATCATCCGATACCAAGTTGAAGAAAAATATTCTTAGTCTGTTTTTTAATCCCAGACTAAATTGACAGGTGCAAATGTCAAATTTTGAAATAATGTTACCACCTATATCGCAGGTACTCCAATACTCCACGTATTAGAGTACCTGCGATACCAATTTGTTTAATCGGAAACTTTTATTTTAACACATTAGTTTTAAATCTTTAAAGACGCGTAAGGTAAGACGTTTCCACAACAGAATTTTAAAATTAACGTATATATACTAGTGTTTCCATTACTTTCGTTGTATTATGCAACATAAAAATACATTTTTGTCGTTTCCGTACAAATAATCATTTTTACAGTATTAAGCTACAAACCAACATTTTTTTTCTTTAAGCATAATATTTTGAATAGGTGTTTGTTTTATGATATATGATACTATAAAAGGTCACTTGTTTTATAAAAAAGGCAGGTAGTCTTTATTATAGTGAAAAATAAAAAGTCTTTAGACTTTTTTAATTTTGTGTTAATGTGTTTTATATAAACACTCACACATTATTTCTGATACTCTGAACTATAAAAATGGATAATTAATAGTAATTTCCGATAGTGCCACTACCCTATTTAAAAAATGCAAATACCTGGCAACATCGGAAACGTCAAATTTGTCTCCGGGATTAAAAAAACAGACTGTAGCTAAATATAGGTTTAAGATAAAGTTCTCCACGACCATTGCATGATAATCTTGTCTAGGTAGTCTGTGACAAACGCACCTACGGTGACGTCGTGGCGTTTATTATTATCTTATTGAGTTTTCTTTAATAACACCAACTTTATTTCTTTAGTACCCTCTGTTTCCTGACATTACAAACAAATACCTAAGCTTGCCGAACGGAATGCGCGCGCGGAATTCTAAGAAATATTAAAATCCCGTATATTAAAGTATATTGGCGTGTATATACATATGTGTTTATCTACCTTGGACCTGGATGTGCTGCAGAAGACGATCGAGCTAGGAGCAAACAACAAGGTAGGTAAGCTGACGGCTCACCGGATTGAAAATCACGTTATCATGTGACGCCCGTGATACTACTCATGTGTTGCCATTCCGGGAAACTAGCATGTCATGCCTCTTAGCCCATAATTTCACTGCATTATCAAACCTTGAAAATAAAACATAGTATACAAAACAAGCTGCTTGGCGGCTGGAAGATATATAGTACTTAAACTAATAAAACTTTTTTTTTACCACGTAGGTGGCAAACAAGCATACGGCGCATCTGATGGTAAACGGTTACCATAGCCTATGGACGCCTGAAACACCAGAGGTGTCACATGCGCGTTGCCGACCCTTAAACTTTACATAGTCCAGCTCAGTCAAAATCATATGTTTATATAAAAAATGTATTATTGTCTATATGTCGGCTTCGGTGGTCTAGCCGTTTATAATACCGCCTTACTCCCATGGTCGCGGGTTCTTTTCCTCGCACCGTACAAACATTTGTATTTATCAGTATGATTGTATGTCTGTGTCTGTATGTTTCTTTATATATTATTAGGTATGTATTACAAAAAATGTATGTATATATTTATATCACTGTCTAGTACCCATACCACAAGCTTAGTTTAAGACTAAATGTCACTGTGAATTACCATTGCCCTGCAATATTAATATTACTATATTAAAATTATATTTCGTCTGAAGTAGTCTTATTTGATGCCTTGATAATTACATTTTAATCAGTATGCGTAATTCTAGTCACAACCAACGTTTCATTTATATTCTCGACAGCTCTAAACATGTCACTTTCAGTAACACATCAATCTAAACAAGCAGATAACTAGATGATTATGTACTTGCTTTAAATAGCGGGTACAAAGTACTAAATGTTACTTATTAATGCAACTACGTTGTATGACAAAGTTGTATTCTAATATCTCATACCGCACTATCTAGTTCCTAGTTAAGTAGAGCTTGTGTTAAGCGTACTAGACAAGTTAACGGAGTACCTTTCTGCTATCAGTTTTAATAACACAATAGGTAGTTTTATCAGATTTTTGTAATTATTTCTTTTTTATTAAGGACTACAGAATACACCGCTCTTCGTGGTTGTATATATTCCACTAAAATGAAATCTATTTACTAATCTACTTTACTAAGATTACTTATGTCAAATTAATCTTATATTGATTGAAAATCAGCGCTGAGCAGCGTACGTGTAGACGTTACACTCACAGCATCAGCTGAGTCAGCCCAGAATATATGTACAGTGTGAGGTACTACTGTTTTTGTAGTTTAAGAGGCTGATTTCTTTATAGTTTTTTTGCCATTTTGCTAATTAATGTACACTAATCTGCATTAACATGTACATATATACTTTTGTACCTTGTCCCATTGCACTTTGTAATATTGCAAAATATTATTTACATAAATATAAGTCAATTTCACAACTCAGCATTATTCGTATTTTAGATATATTACTTGAAAAAATAAGTTATTATAGAATCATTTCATATTAACTATAAAAAATACTACAACCATAGAGGGATTGATAGAGAATGCCATATGGCATTAAGCTCGCTATATATACTTCTTATTGTGCAATAAAGAATACAAATAACAGAACAAAATAACAAATTACTTATAAAAAAGAGAATAATTCTGAATAATTGATTATAAAAAATATCAATATACCTACACATAAAATTGTAATAGACAAAAATGGCAGGCGAATGCAAAATATACCAATTCTTAATATAGCAGCCAAAAAATTAATAATTTCATGCAATAGCGTACTTAAAATACAACAGTCGATGTTAGTAACTCCCTCCCATACTATAAGCTCGTCTAAAATATTGACCGACATACAACTTATGACGTCACTCCATTCTTCGTACAAAAAATAAATAATACCTTCCTATTTATATACATAATACTTCATAAACATTATCCCATCTTATCATTATACACATGATTGTCTTTGCGTACATGCAAAATATGAAGATATCTCGTTGCCTCGGCTGTATTCATTTCAATTGTCACACGAGCGCATTAGTTAATTACCGACCAGCAAACCATATTGATTTATTGATTCCATGCGTTCATAACATTGCTTGATATTTACACTATTAAACAAAGGTTTCTACTATTACTTACTCTGTACTTGGATTTTTAATATAAGTGGACAAATCTTTGAACTATTCAAGTTTGTATTAAACTGATGAAGTTTGCATAAGACTGAAGAAGTTTACATTAGACTTCTTTAGAAGAATCACCTTCCAACAAAGGTATTTCCGAGCCGATACAATATTATAACCTTCAAGAAAAGAGCTTATTCCTTCTTAAAAGGTCGACAACGCTTTTGCTATTCTCCTGGTGTTGCGGCAGGTGCTCATGGGTGGCGGTAATCACTTACCATCAGGTCGTCTTTAGACGAAAAAATTACTTTGTGCTTAAGGAGTCCGCCTTCTCGATTGAAACCAATGCTGTATATTAGTGGTCTAATTTAGCATTCGTTATTTTATATTTCAGTGAGATTAACATTTGTAAAACAAAACAAAGTACCCATTTACTGTCAGATGAGCCGTATGCTTAATTACCATCATCGTGATATAAAAAATGTGAATGGTAATGTAAGAACTCTGTTTTAGTACGTCATTCGTTCATATTCACTCATCAGTATTGGAGAAGTTTGTATTAGAATAAAAATTATTTATTCTCCAGAAGATTCTGCATTGTTTCTCCAGAATATAGACGAGACACGTTGCGTAGTGACTATAGATCATTGCAATGAATCAAGTTGTGGTTACAACCTAATTTTTATTTATATAATCTTTCGTATTATACATATACCTACATGGTATGTAAATCGAATGCTATTAAATATTGAATGAAGAGTAATAATCATATTATTGCTTAGACTACATTATAAGTATAAGAAAAGGAGACACAGACATGATAAAGTTAAACATAATATATAAATGTAATAATAAAATACGTATATATAAATAATATATATTTATAGTTAGTTCAACCATATAGTGTAAATAAGTATACAGCAACCAATGACACAGTTGAATACTCCTGCAATATTAATAATTCGGTGAGCCACGTCAACGTAGAATCGATAGGAAATGGGTCACTCATATCACATTCGCTTACACATACAGCTTGTCATAACTTTCGTTAACTACTATGAAACTGAGCACGCCAACCAAGCACAAATCTAGTTTAAAGTAATCATAAACATTAGCACGACTTAAACAAATAAAGATTTCAATATGAAGAACCAGCAAGTAAGTGTCGACTACTGGGCTATGGGTAAAGCGATGTTATTATATGGCGTCCTAACTGTAATGCTTTGGTTGATGCTGAGGCTGTTCAACACGGTATTTATGCTGCCAAGAAGATTAAGGGCACAGCAGGAGAACATACAACACACGTTGCAGGAACTTCAGGCGAGTCATTACTGTCATTACAAATTTTATAACATTGCTACTTCGCGACTTTTATCGTCCTTTCTTTCTCTTTCAATTAATTGAGCAGTTATAGTATACAAAGAGGGGTAAACAGATAACATTGGCACCTCTTTGTATTGTAATTGACCTCTGCAATTTATATTTGTATTAAATTCGTTTTACTGTTAGAATAGGTATATAAAAATTTACTTATCGTGCAATAAGATACTACTTTTCAAATATATCTCTAGTTAAATTTGAAATTCTTTATAGTATGAGACATTATTACCAATTTGGTCGGAATAACTAAAAAAAATGTTTCTGTGTATTATACAGCACCTAAGTATATTACCCCTTTTCGTTACAGTTCTTATAAATGTATGTTGTTTACTTGTTCCATTTGAATAGGCATTTAGAATCTTCCATTCTAAATGCCTATTCAAATGGAACAAGTACTTTATTTAGAAGTAAGGAAGTTAACCGGCAAAATTGAAAAAAGAGTGTAACAAAGAAATTTCTAGTACTAGCTTACTTTAAAAAAGCAAACCATAATGTATTTAGTCTGATTTACGTTAGGCATCTATTTATTCTTATAATAAAGCAACATAGAGTTTACATTGAATATTTACAGAAGCGTTTCCCAGACTTGAATATAACAGAAGAAGACTTGAAAAATGCAGAAAAAGATCTCGAAGAATACATGAAAGAAGAAGAGGAGAAAGCGAAAGAAAATTCAGAAAACAAAACTGAGGATGTACCGCAAATAGAGGAAGACAAGAAAACTATATAACGACTATTTAATATATTTAAAAATATTAAAGCAATAGCGATAAATTATTACAAAGTAGTAAAATTCGAATGTATAGGTATTTGTAATAACTGAATGTTAATTTATTTCATATATTTAATCTTAAAATTAATATATTTTTATATGCCTTGTAATATAGCGTGAGGTAAAATTAAAAAAATATTACTATTAAGAAATTGTGTACGAAATTACTTCAATAAAGATTAATTTATATTTATTTATTCAATTAAAAACATCCGTTTATTTGAGAGCAATGTATCGCCATCTCTCAGCTGATATTCATTATTTTAGTCCTGCAATTGTCCGCTAGATACCGCCACCATGTACGATACAAAAGCCCGCGGAACCGGCCCGCGAGGCGTGGTTTACTCCGAGAGCTTTCACCCCAGCTTTACATTATTGATCGGCTCATTCAATGAGTATCTGTATAGCGGTAAATAAGTTTGACTAATGTTGTTGTTATCGTTTTGTACATTAACAGCGCTGTCAATATATACTATTCGTCCTCGATGTAAATAGATACGTTATCTCAATAAGCCACCGGCTGATATTGATAGTTTCAAACAATGCTAATCAGTTGTCGTATTGCTCCGTCGGCCGTCAGCCGTGCTGTTTGCTCAATTAATGTGTGATAATAATTATGTGATGATACGTGAATGTATCGCGACTTGAATATATCGTTTCTCAACTGCTACTACCACGATGACACGATCTAGCTACCGTCCGCTGGTGCCCCGCTCTTCGAACAATTCCTTAGAACACCGAGACATGGGGTAAGTATTGATAAACTATAGGTCATTATATAAATAGAAATAGTTTTTACTAATGTTTAATTATATATAAATTGAGACTGGTAATATTACCTATAAGGCGTTCAATTCTATGTCTTGTAAAACATCCTTTATAATTTTAACATTAAAATTGACGTGGGGTAAATGTAGACTATTAATAGCATCAACTATAAATATTTTCTATTTTTAAACAGGCTGTTGAAAATACACGTAAACTTTACCTGATGGTTTAAAATAATAAAAACCGAACTATGTACCTATCCATCAGAATCCACACTTAAATATTCGAGTATATATTATATTCTTATAATCTACATTGCTATTGTGTTTATATATGCTAAACAAGTAATAATTTATGTACGTTATTACATACATATAATAATGTATTTTAAATAGATGTAACAAATCAAAGATAAAATTTAATTTGGTCGTTATATATGCTGACATTTTTTATAAAAAATCTCAATTCTGAGTAAATACTATTTGTATTTTCTTTTTTGTTAAGTTTATATACGATTTTTGGTTATGTAATTAGAAAATACAAACCAGCTGACGGCCCATACAGTGATAACTGTAGCCTGTGTACATGAACAGGACTACGATGACCACGTTATAACTTGACACCAGTGATACCACTTATGCATTGCCATTTCAGTGGACTAAGAAGTCATGCCTATCCTGTAATTTCACTACCTAATTACATCCTACCACCGATATAGCTTATAAGGGAAGCTGCTTAGCCGCTGAAGATGAGACTGAGCTACCATGTAGACAACGTTTTACAAATCAAATCAAAATATTTTTATTCACTCACTTTACAGACTCTTATGATATGTCAAACTTACCGTAAGTTCAGAGTGCTTTCGAGCTGAGAAGAACTGACAAGAAAGTCAGCTCACAATGTACCTTTTGTGACACATATGACATGTAGTCAAACCAAATAAGGTGATAATCACACGCTACTCGTAAATATTCCTACATGAGCGTGCATGTTTCCTAGTTGCATGGCTGCGGTAGTTTACAACCTGTTTATTCTTAAGCCATTAAACAAAGGTATATATTACTTGTTTTGCATTTAAATGTAGGTACATGTATATCTTGTATTTGTAATAGAGATATCTATTTGTGGAAACAATTTTATGATAATATAAAATATACTTTATAAGTACCTATAATTATACTGAAGACGCTTTGTTTTAGCGTTTTAACTCTTTATTATATAGGCTATTTATATGATTTACGGCCATATTCACAATGCAGATTCAGTAGAGATCAAATACTAAATTACTAAACCAACTTTTAGTCGTGACTTCATCCAGTTGACTAGAGTATCGGTGGGTGTATTGACTGGTATATAAAAGAACGAAGGCCTTATATATATGTTATTTTTTATAACAATTTCTTGAGTCGTAAAGGCACCAAGTGAACCTTTTCTTTACGTAAGGAAAATCTTCTTCGAAGAGGAGATATTTAGGGGCCATAAGGTCTGCCGCATTCTATCTGGCCAAAAGCCTAACGGCTATTCCTCCTTGAACATAACGTTGTGGCCATCTCTTTCCCATTCTGCAAGACCATCAACATGGTTCTTATCGACCTTTTATTTAGGCGTGCAGGGAATAGCCGCTAAACTCCACCTCTAAACCCTAATGCCTCCCTGTCGAACTCCGTATAGTCCTAACCATCATGCAACCAAGGGTAAATAATGGATTCAATGCCTACGCTGATCAAACTCAAGTGTCCATCGAATACACCCGAGCCTGCACCGCGGCTGCTGACCAAGTGGTATCTAATAAATAAACTAGCAGAATCCTTCTTTGTTATGAAACGGAATGATAAACCTCGCCAAACCTGATAGCCCACCTAATGGTGAGTGTGTATATCATCACTGTATCATTCCTGTATATCATGTAATTAGTCATATCGCAGTCTTCAACCGAAATACAGCTTACAAACCAAGCTGCTTAGTGACTGAAATTGAGGCAAGAGGCGACTCAGAGTTGACCTCGATATAAAATTAGTAAGAATTATGGTTTTATCTATTAAACAAGTTTCATGATTAGCACAATCGTCATAAACATCATTATTACCGTCATTGACAGTCCCCTGACAAATATATTCCTCCCTTACTTATTAACATGACATTGTAATATATTAAGAACTTAGCAGTTGTTGAATTCTGAATCTGAAGTATGTTTCAACGCAACAATGGCAAGCTCTCCTTCTTATTCATTAAAAAAATTACTTGTTAAAAAACAGCATCTTTATTTTTATTTATATGGAATGTCTATAAAGTTATTTTATATATCTACATATATTATAATTTTTAATTTTTGAACCCACAATTTGAAATATGCTATATAAGTACAACTACATTTTGAATATGTAAAAGTTTTACAGTATTTCTATATTGTACATTTACAAAGAATATCTTAACTATTAATAAACTAAACCAATACGTTTAGTTTAAACAAATTGCACTTACTTAGGACTATTTTATTAAAGCCGGAGTTTTGTTTTATTTTACGCTTAATGCTTCACAATTTACATTTAGACATTTACATCAAATTTCTAAATTAAGTTTTTTTAAAGTTGATGGCATTTTATGTTGGAATACTGCCAACCAGTCAGTTGTGAAAGTGACACTGTACCTAGGTACTAGACTAAAGGTCAAACAATTAAATAGGTCAATCTTAGAAAAACAGACTTAAAACATAGAAAGATACTCTAACGTGCCACTTAGGGCATAGCTATTTATTTTATTAAGGTTAGTTGGCATTAAAAAACAAAAAAAAAGATTCTCTTAAGTCACATCGATTTTATTAGTAAGTATGAAAACCAGGTATAAGAAAAGATATAGGTATTATCATCCTTATTTGACTGAAATAATAAACTACACAATTCTGTTTATAATAAAAATTAAAAGGTATTAATCAAGACAAAACGGTATACAATACAGTGGGGTCAGTGAGTGCACCCTCTTCGCTATTATCAGTAAATTATTACAATTAAAAATGGACTTTATTTGTTAGTATATATAAAACACACATTATTACATTACGTTACGTTATTCTATATACATTACATTATTCTCTACTGTACAGTGCAGGGTATGTAATATTTTGAAAATTACAGTTAATTGCTATAAAGTCGCGTTGCCAGATGTTACCACCGCTCACCGAGCCAAGCCTAACCGTGCCAAACCGCCCCTACCCCATATCTATTTTGGCAAACCTGGAACATGCGCCATGCCTAAGCCTCGCCAATAACATATATCACAAAATATATATTATTGAGTATGCACTACGTATATACTGAGGATTGATAGAAAAATCATACAAGATAAAAAAATATGTGAAAAGATCGGGTAAAACTAAACATAAAATAAATTTTATGAATGCGTATATAAATTACAAATTTCTGAATTGGAGAAGGACATGATAAGAGTAAAGGAAGAAGGAACTATGCGAATAATAATAACAGCATAGTACTCACGTTACGACTATATAAATACAGGTAAGCAGAATAAAAGATTCTAAGATGACATTAGCAAAATAGTCGGTCCAGTATGGACTCGCAAAGAAAAGGACGAGACTTGTTTGCCATTCCAATTATGTAAAAAAATCTATGTCACGGATATATCTAATCATTATTAAATAATAATACTTTACATTAAATTTTATTCACCTAATCCATCAAGGACTCTACCTAAATAGATACATTTATAATAATTGCGTCTTATATTTAATATTTTTCATTATATTTCTTGTAATTATTATTTATACTGTGTATTATAGATAATTGCGTGTCTATAGATAGGTAGGTATATTTTAATAATAGAGAAATAATAATAAAACGTCGATATTGTTATCAGTTTGTTATGAAGCAGGAGCGCGTGCTTGTTGTTTACATTTCAAGGATAAAAAAGGTATAAATTATTAACATAAAGGCATACTTTGGACTTTAGGAGGGCCTAATAGTAATAATAAAATGCCTACAATCGTAACTAATATTAATAGCCAGCATGAATTAAATGAATACATGAATTTACTAAATATACTTGCAATACTTTTAATAGTAGTTAGTAATAGTTTGCCGTGACTTCGTTCATATAGATTGATCCATATTGATTTCTCTGTTCAATAGTAGTTTACTTAATAGTACCTACCTTCATCCCAAAGTTTTATCAAAATTGTATGAATGTTCTGAGTAATAGGACACATATACAAATGTTTGTTATTAAATATTATATAAAGTAACGCTGGTATAAAATATAGAGAGAAAATAGACAGAGAGAGAGTTTGTTTCTAACTTTTATTCAACTTGTCCAATATATAAAAAATTTACTCCCTAGTGATCTCGGGAAAACAATAAATTTGCATTTTATTAACTTCTACTCCCACTGGAGTATAGCCCGACATCCATTGTAGTTCAATTTTATTTCCCTATACGGTTCACAAAGCTTTTTATTTTTATGTATACTTTTAAAACACTATTTTTTGTCTATAACTATATATATAAAAATGAATCCCTATTTTTCTTGGTCCGATTTCGCTAATCCTTTTTATTTCCTATTGTGTTTATTATTATCAGGAGAAGGTACTAATGAAAGAAAGCGCAACTTTTTAAATTTATTTTTCATTAGTACCTTACTAATGAAAAATAAATTTAAAAAGTTGCGCTTAACATAAAAAATTTAATTGCGAATTAAAATTTATAGTTAAGACAGAACTACTTCTGTAGCGTCAGCTCGTTTTGAAGTACATAAAAATAACCTCTTCGCCTACTTTCATTATTGAACAAAATACATGCACAACAACAAATAAAATGCACACTCATATAAAAGGTAGGGGTTTGTCTGTTATCTCTTTGTGTTACATGTGTATGTTTTTCTAGTATTAATGCAAGAAACATATACATAAAAGCTAGTTTACTTGTCATCCTTGTCAGTCATTAAATTATACATCTATGTATTAGTCTCATAT